TATGTTCTGGAATCTTTTAAGATCTTTCATATTTAGGCATAAACAAAGGATATGTAAAGAGTCTGAACCAAAGGAATATTGTAATTCAACACTATAGCAAAAGTAATATAGTCATCTTTCTAGATAGTTGGCCTTGTAGCTAGATACCTGCCTAGCAAACTTTCCAATCCTCACAACACCCCTATATAAAGTAGACACTGTTATCCCTAATTTACAAATGAACTGTCTCACACCACAAGTTATCACAAGGCACAATGACCAAGGCAGCAGTAATTCACCTACTCAATAGAGCATCTTTTCTGACCATACATATATATCCTGAGGGGCTTTCATTTCTGGTCAGGCTCTCCTGTGAGAGGCTACAGCATTACTGTAGCAAGTCCTGTCCAATCATGGCTGAGGTTAGAATTAATTTGTAATTAATCTGTATAGAAAAAGGCTAGGACCAAAAATCAGTTGGTCAGTTAAATATATTTTGATTACTTATTATGAGTGAGGCAATGTGCTGAAAAGCTAGGAATATGGTCAAAAGACACAGTTCTGATTTAACTTCTGCTGTAACAAGATGACTGTACTGCTTTGTCTGCACTTTTTCTCTTACTATTAAGAATTCATTTGCCACACTTAGATCATCTATTAACTGATTTGAATTAATTGATCAGAAAACAACTCAAGGGGCTGGCCTGTGGCTCACTCGGGAGAGTGCGGTGCTGATAACACCAAGGCCCCGGGTTCGGATCCCATATAGGGATGGCCGGTTCGCTCACTGGGTGAGCGTGGTCCTGACAACACCAAGTCAAGGGTTAAGATCCCCTTACCGGTCATCTTTTTAAAATTTAAAATAAATAAATAAATAAATAAATAAATAAATAAATAAATAAATAAATAAATAAATAAATAAATAAATAAATAAATAAATAAATAAATAAATAAATAAATAAATAAATAAATAAATAAATAAATAAATAAATAAATAAATAAATAAATAAATAAATAAATAAATAAATAAATAAATAAATAAATAAATAAATAAATAAATAAATAAATAAATAAATAAATAAATAAATAAATAAATAAATAAATAAATAAATAAATAAATAAATAAATAAATAAATAAATAAATAAATAAATAAATAAATAAATAAATAAATAAATAAATAAATAAATAAATAAATAAATAAATAAATAAATAAATAAATAAATAAATAAATAAATAAATAAATAAATAAATAAATAAATAAATAAATAAATAAATAAATAAATAAATAAATAAATAAATAAATAAATAAATAAATAAATAAATAAATAAATAAATAAATAAATAAATAAAACAACTCAAGAGAAAATTTAAAGAGATACACCTCAAACACACTGATTAATCAGGGGCTGAATGGATCCATATAGGGCAGAGTATTTGATAAAGCTTTGTAACTGTTTATACTTTTCATCTGCAAATATATTAAAGATCTCTGTACTTCCTCTAAATGGATGAAAGCGTCAGAACACAACAGCACCTGGCTTCAAAAACAATCACACGTGGGGGCCGGCCTGGTGGCGCACTGCATAAGTGCGCCGCTTGGGAAGCGCGGCGGCGCTCCCGCCCGAGGGTTCGGATCCCACATACAGACCGGTTCCCGCACACTGGCTGAGCGAGGCGCGGGAGCAACACCGAGGGTTTCGGTTCTGTTGCTGGTCCCCGGTCCGGTACGGGGGCAACACTGAGGGTTGTGATCTGTTGCCGGACATGGAAAAAGACAAAAACAAAAAAACAAAACAAACAAACAAACAAACAAAAAAAACCAATCACACGGGAAGGCAATATGGTAGAAACCGCACTGACAAGAGAAAAGGACCTGGATTCAAACCTGGCTTTGCCACCTTACTAACTGCGTGTCTTTGGGTGATCTACTTGTTCTCTTGGAGCTTAGCTAAGTTTTCTCATCTTCTCATAAGATTTTTTAAAAAGATGTTAAATATGTGTTAAATCAGATGACTCCTGCTAAACATGGTAAGCATTTGAGAAGCTGCCTTCTTCTATCACTTCATCATGTCTATAGATTCATTATTCAAAATCCAAGTATATATTTGTACCTAGAAAAGATTAAGAAATTCCTAACTTGATATCACTGTCTTCAATGAAAGCCAACAACCCTGTCCTTAGTGTGACAGAATCATCTTATCTATGCTTTATGGAGTATTGGC